TTTATGGAAAAATTTATTTTTCTTCTGTTTGGATATATTCAAACTAGGAATATTTAGAGCATAAAATAACAGAAAATTTAAATTATTAAAAGGATTTCTTCTATTAAAAAAACAGCGTTTTTTTTTTAAACTGGTTCAAACCACATTGTTTTAAATTGAACAACTCTGTTAAGAGCCTGTCTAAATCATGTACCCAATAAATATGGTTTGTGGTAGAGACACTTAAAGAACACCGAAAATTGCATTTTTATTTATATTCATTCCTTGAAATTGAAGTATATTTTTTGACCTTTTCCAAAATTTAAATTAAAACAAATGTCCTTCGCAACTACTTTTTTATTTCAAAGAATAAAAAAAAATTTTAATTTAGACCCGTCACTGTTTCCAGATATGCCCCATGGTATGTAAGTGTTGCTGGATATTAGCTTGAAATTATTTCTGATACAAGTATTAATATTAACTGTTTGTTAGATACACGCTCTCTTTTATATATTAAAACTAAGTCAAGTAAATATTTTTTTCCTCATATAACTCTTATATAATACAGTGAAACCTCTCAGGAGTAACCACTCTCTTTTCTACAGTAAAATAGTCGTTGATGGAGGTCGGTCGTTCTTAGAGGTTACCCCCATTGATTTTAAAATTTTTATCGAAAGTACATGATTTTTCGCAAACTACAGTAGAGAACCATTTATCCGGTATCCAGATAACCGGGAAACCAGACAACCGGGGGAAATTTTGCTTGGTTTTCCCGCCATTTTAAACTAGAACGATTATGAAAAAAAGCAAAAATTGAACTCATCCTTGAAGTTGAGTAGAGGAAAATGTGAGGAAGGGGAGAATTTTTTTTCCCCGTTTACCCAGAAAAACGTCGTTTTTTCCATGACTGACCTTGAAGATCTTCAGATAGAGAGGAGGCAGGGAAGGGATGAATGTTTTATTTTCTAATTTAGGCTGTCAATCAGTCAATCAAACTCAAAGGAGTGGCATGCTGATTTCGTCTTCTCTTTGATTTACGAGGGGGTGGGGAAAATGCATTGCACAGGCATATCAGTGAACAGAAGATGAAAGAGAGAAATATACTTATCTATTTGACATCGATTAATAAAAATAAAATATTTTTCTTTTGAATAAATTCTGATTCTTTTGGGAAGTGCGGTATCATTTGCAAGTTTTTCTTGATGTGGGATCACATCTGCTTTCGTTAAAAATCGTGTTTTTATAAAAAAATTAAAAAAATAAAACGAGAATTGTTTATTAATTTATTTCATGAAGTAGGTTGCAGTTTTGTTTTTCTGATTCCACTGTGTTTTGATTTTTTTTTTTCCTTCCACGATAAATTTCGCACTCAATAAACTAATTCCTTTTATTCTTAAATTTTATCATTACGATTTTTTTTCTCCTTTTTTTTTTTAATACTGTTGATCTTATTAATCTTGCCTTGTNGGTTCAAACCACATTGTTTTAAATTGAACAACTCTGTTAAGAGCCTGTCTAAATCATGTACACAATAAATATGGTTTGTGGTAGAGACACTTAAAGAACACCGAAAATTGCATTTTTATTTATATTCATTCCTTGAAATTGAAGTATATTTTTTGACCTTTTCCAAAATTTAAATTAAAACAAATGTCCTTCGCAACTACTTTTTTATTTCAAAGAATAAAAAAAAATTTTAATTTAGACCCGTCACTGTTTCCAGATATGCCCCATGGTATGTAAGTGTTGCTGGATATTAGCTTGAAATTATTTCTGATACAAATATTAATATTAACTCTTTGTTAGATACACACTCTCTTTTAAATATTAAAACTAAGTCAAGTAAATATTTTTTTCCTCATATAACTCTTAAATAATACAGTGAAACCTCTCAGGAGTAACCACTCTCTGTTCCACAGTAAAATAGCCGTTGATGGAGGTCTGTCGTTCTTAGAGGTTACCCCCATTGATTTCAAAATTTTTATCGAAGGTACATGATTTTTCGCAAACTACAGTAGAGAACCATTTATCCGGTATCCAGATAATCGGGAAAACAGAAAACCGGGGGGAATTTTGCTCGGTTTTCCCGCCATTTTAAACTAGAACGATTATGGAAAAAAGCGGAAATTGAACTCATCCTTGAAGTTGAGTAGAGGAAAATGTGAGGAAGGGGAGAATTTTTTTCCCCGTTTACCCAGAAAAACGTCGTTTTTTTCCATGACTGACCTTGAAGATCTTCAGATAGAGAGGAGGCAGGGAAGGGATGAATGTTTTATTTTCTAATTTAGGCTGTCAATCAGTCAATCAAAGGAGTGGCATGCTGATTTCGTTTTCTCTTTGATTTACGAGGGGGTGGGGAAAATGCATTGCACAGGCATATCAGTGAACAGAAGATGAAAGAGTAAAATATACTTATCTAGTTGACATCGATTAATAAAAATAAAATATTTTTCTTTTGAATAAACTCTGATTCTTTGGAAGTGCGGTATCATTTGCAAGTTTTTCTTGATGTGGGATCACATCTGCTTTCGTTAAAAATCGTGTTTTTATACAAAAATTAAAAAAATAAAACGAGAATTGCTTATTAATTTAAACATACGATTATTTCATGAAGTAGGTTGCAGTTTTGTTTTTCTGATTCCACTGTCTTTTGATTTTTTGTTCTTTCCACGATAAATTTCGCACTCAATAAATTAATTCTTTTTATTCTTAAATTTTATCATTACGTTTTTATTTTTCCGTTTTTTTTTAATACCGTTGATCTTATTGATCTTGACTTGTTCCAGGTTTTAATATTTATGTTAGTGCCTTTTTAACTATCGTTTGGGTTCAATAATTTTCGTTGTTTTTATTTAGATTAATAAGTTTTCCTTTTATTTTATCGTTTTCCCCCTCGTATAATTAGGTATGGAATATATTGCGTAATTTAAGCATTGGTTTTGTTTACATTAGTTAATTTAGGAATTGTAATTATTTTTAAAAAAATATGAGAATTTTGTATTTTTTAAACTTGTTTTTCTTGTCTAAACTTGCAATTTTCTTTTATTCTTCTAGATGTTATTTTCCTATTTTTTTTTTTAAATTTAAGAGTACTTTTCTTTTTTCTCTTACTATAAAATGTATTACACTTTTTACCTTGTTATTCGGGTTAGATAAAACATTGATTAACGACACTTTTTGGTCGATCCAGAAAACCGGGAAATTCAGACATCCGGGATAGCGATGGTCCCGAGCATCCCGGATAATTGGCTTTCTACTGTATTTTAAATTTAGTCGTAGTCAATTTTTTAATGCAGAAATGTGGCATCATGAAAAAACGAATCGATGAATAAAATTCAGTACCTATAAATACTATCGCAACTGATATAATTATATGTAAAAACAAATTTACTAATAATGAATGATAATGCTATTTTAAATAAATAAACCATTATGTTTTTTGTTTAAGTTTGCATTTAATCTTATACCATGAAAATTAGTTTGCTTAATAAGGTGAGAGGAGGTTTGTTTATTTGAGTTGCTTGTTTTTTCTAAAATAACTTGTTTTTTTTCCAATTTAACTTTCAACTATCATAGTAAATCATAGATGGCATTGTCTTTAGTGCACTATGACTGAAACATCATGTTGTATAGTCAAAAAGAGCACTCTAAACAAGATCCTCATACAAATATTTTGAATGCATTTTTTTAATCTACTTATTTGTTTTGTTAAATTTTTTATTTTGATTTTTTTTTTCTATTTCCTTCATTAACCTTTCCGCATTTGGTGCAGATGTTTTCCCGGTCTCTGGGACAGGTTTTAATGATCTTCTAAAGCTTTTCTTCAACACAAAGTCTATGGGGGAAATTCTACGCCACTCAAAAGTGGTCATAAATAGGTGGTCATTATACAGAGGTGGTCTTTCCAGTAGGTTTTACTGTATTTTATTGCAAAAAAAGACAGTATGAATGCAGCATAGTATGTCTAACTTAAAATAAATAAAACTATTTTCTACATAAAAACTAAATGTCCCTCCCTTTAGAAAGTATTCTGCCATGAAATGCACTTCTTAACTAATGTTTTATCTAATAATCCACTAGGCATTCTTTTGAAGTACAATTTAGATGTTTAAACAATTTAAAATACCTTTTTTTTACACTTTTTCTTCTTGTTTAAAAAATTTAATTTGCTTATTTCTTGCGTCATTAACAAGGTCTAAAAGAAAGTGAATATTAAACAGTTCTAAACTTAGCTGAGTGAAGTATAAAAAGGAACTTAGACCACTTTCAGAATAATTATATGGCAAACTTTCAATAATTTTAGTTTAGGATTATAAAAGCTTATCTTAAAAAAGAAATGTCACTACAGAGATGACCGAGGCACGTAATAATAAAAAATTACATATATTTTCCTCTATATGAAGATTATGTGAAATTTTCCTCTATGTGATTGCATAAAGTTATTTAAGCTGCTGTCATATAAAGATTTTGCTCCCTTTTGGTTGCAATAAATAATTATCACAGATGATTATGGTGATAAGTATGATACCTAATTACAATGTTCAACAAAAAAAAATTATGAATTCAAGCCAAAATTTGAAAAAATGATCTCTGCTAATATTTTTCTCCTGCTTGCATCAAAATCAACAAAATCCAATTAATAAAATTTACCTTTTGAAGAAAAGCCGAAACTAAAAAAAACAATTACAGAGAATTTTTAAGGATATGTCAAACCACTATTTTGAATAAACCAAAAATAAAGGCTTATGCAGTCAAAACAAAAAATTCAGAATAAACAACTAAGAACAAGTTTGGAAAAGGATAACTAGTGTTGCTTTTTACATATTTCTGTAAGCAAATTATTCAAATATTAATGGAAAATCTTCTAGTAGAAGAAATCAAGCTAAATGATCCTTTTCATTGGTATTTAAAGAATTGCATATAACAATAGCTACTTAAAGTTTGCCATTTTATTAATTTTTTTCAATAATACTAATTACCTCATATTTTCCACATCATCTTTAAAAATACACTTAAATTACCTGAACTTTAACAATGCCTTGTAAATCAGCAGTTGTTGAATCTGGTGAAAAAGTTACAGACCAAACACTACGCCATCTTCCATTCCTGGCAAAAAATATTAGTTTTGAGAATTCATTAATATATTCAAAATTGAAATATGTTTAACTGTAACATGCTAGATATTATAATACTATATTATATATTGCAAACAATTCCAAAACAGTTTAAGAAAAACAAACTTAAATTTAATACAAAAAAATCAATGCAATTTACATACCAAAAATTTTTAGGTTCAAACTGATGATCTTCTATACAGGCAGTTAATGTAATGGTTTGATCTTGATTATTGCTAAAAACACAACATGTTCCATTTCTATAATGATCCTGAGTATATAGTGTGCAAGCTTCCTCTAAGGCCCTTCTCCAAACTTCTGTCACTCTATCTGGTTCATATGTCTTAAAGTCCAATGCTTCTTTTCGCAAATGATCATACTTAAAAGATTGACCAGATCGAGGATCATAAAATCTTCCCCCACCAAGGTCATTATGATCTGTGATTAAAGCCTAAAAGAATAATATAAAGAAAATAATTCCCCCTCTTTATAAAACAAAAAATATATAAAGTATCATATAAAAATATAATATATCGTTATAATGAATTATATTAATGATAATTTATAGTACGTAAGTTTAACTATTCATTTGAGTCATCCTGCTCATAATTAGCTTTTTTTACATTTTTGTTGTTTGATGCAGTTTGTAATTACTTTTTCATTTCTTTGAACAATCAATTTGTTTATAACTCAAAATAGAGGCCAACTCTTAACACCGCCAACCAAAGCTGAGTCCTGCAACTGGCAGTTGTTCAAAGGTTTCACTGTAGTTATTATAAAACATTTAAATACTTCTGAATCATTGCAGTTATTGTAAACAATTTATAGTTTTAGCCTTCTTAATTATTGTAATCTTCTTTATTAGTGTACCCTTCTTGTAAATGCACAGCTCTCCTAAACTGACTATTCCTTTGATCCCGAGAGTGTTTGCTTAACTGAGGTTTCACTTTATCAACAAGTTGAAAATTTTGCTTGCTTTGAAAATTATAAAATCTTTTCCAGATCCCAAATAAAGTAACTGCTAAAATAGTTACCTTATTCTTAAATACTTTCATATAACAGAAATACATGTAACATTTAGTCAATTCAAATTTGACTGTGCAAGATGAACATACATTTGACACAAATATCTCTATTTATTACAAATATCAATGGAAACCCAAATATCTTTACTTACTAAAAAAATATATGCAAAATAAAAATAAAATATTTGTAAAATAAAAATTAATTAAATTTTGTGTATGTATATTGCAGGGGTAATTGTGAAAAAAAGTGAAGAACCCTAAAAATTTAATGTGCATAAAATAGATATCAAGATAATAATTTATATACCATATATGTTCCATTTTAACAAAATTTTTTGAACTAAGATATATAATTAAATTACCTACTAATGAAGAATATCACAACTTTATAGTAACTAAATCAAGAAGAAACTTACTTCTTATAAGAATCGTGATATTGGATTTTAAAATTGTGTGAGTATGAATCGCGATATTGAATTTTAAAATCGTGCAAATATTAATAGAGATATTGGACATCAAAAACACTGAAACACTAATCACAATATTACATTTTTAAATCACGTAAATACGAATCACAATGCATAATTTTTAGATCGCGTGAATAAGAAGCGCACAACACTTAGTTTTTAAGTCAGGTACAAATATGAAAATCGATGTTTGATATTACAACTGTGTTAATACTAATCACAAAATTAAAAACACGCGAGTACAAATCACCAGGATTGGATTTTAAAAACCCATGAACACAAATCACAACATTGGATTTCAAAAACTTGTAAATTCAAAATGACAGAAATCCGCTAAGCCAAAAGAATCAAATTGACAGACATATGACATGTATGTAAACGTCTCATTAACGGGACTTAGAAAAAGTTTAAAAACTTTGTCTAATTATAAGTTTTTTATTTGTGAAAGACCTGAAACCAATGACCATGAGACATGATGCGATATTTGCAGAAAAATCACATGCCCTGCTCCTAGTTCTTAGACCCGTGTGATTATGAAGAGAGATATCGGGCTTAAAAAAACACTAATTGTTACATTAAATTTTTAAATCGTGCAAATACGAATCATGATACATAATTTTTAATTTGCGTGAATACAAAACGCAATGTGAAGTTTTTAAATCAGGTATAAATACGAAAATTGATGTTTGATATTACAATCATTTGAATACTAATCACACTAATGGATTTTAAATACACATGAATACCAATCACTAGGATTGAATTTTAAAAACATTAACACAAATCACAACAAGGGATTTTAAAAACGCGTAAATACAAATTACGTTAATAGGAATTGCAATTTACGATTATTAAATTAGGTGAATAAGAATTTTAATACGCATTTTTTTAATCTGGTAGGTACGAAAATCTACGTTTGATACTAAAATTGCATGAATAAGAATTGTGATATTAGCAGGATCCGGAGCAGTTCCAAATACTCAAAATGGCAGAAATCTGCCAAACCAAAATAATCAAATCGGCAGAAGTTTGTGTATGTATGCTAACGTCTCGTTAACAGGATTTAGAAAAAGTTTCAAAATTTTGTCAGATTATAAGTTTTTGATTTGTGGAGTCCTCAAACCAATAGCCATGAGATACAATGCAGTATTCGAAATATTTGCAGAAAAATCACATGCCCTGCTCCTAGTTCTTAGACCCGGAAGAATGATACGAAAAACCCGAAATACAATCACTCCTGAAACTGCTCAATATTTATGAAATTTAAGGTAGAGTAATTACAAATCAGTTAACAGTTGGCCTGAAAATTTCGTAGGCTAACACAGAAAAAGAAAAATTTGATAAAATTTCATTTTATTATTCAATATAGTTTCCTTCAAGGGCGATACGATTATAACGGTCATATAATTTTTCGATACCATTTTTATAGTACTATTTGTCCTTAGACTCAAAATAGGCCTTAGTTTCGGTGATTACTTCCTCATTGGCGCTAAATTTCTTTCCAGCGAGAATTCTCTTGAGGTCTGCGAACAGGAAAAAATCACTGGGGACCAGATCTGGAGAATACGGTGGATGCGGAAGTAATTCGAAGACTAATTCATATAATTTTACCATCGTTTTCATTTACTTGTGACACGATGCATTGTCTTGATGAAACAGCACTATCTTGTTCTTCAAATGGGGCCGTTCTCTGCGATTTCGTTGTTCAAACGCTCAAATAACGCTATGCAAAAGTTGCTGTTGAAGGTTTTTCCCCTTTCAAGATAGTCAATGAATATTATACCATGATCATCCCAAAATACTGATGCCATAACTTTGCCAGCTGACTGTTGCGTCTTTCCACGCTTTGGAGTTGGTTCTTCTCGTGCAGTTCACTCGGCTGACCGTCGATTGGACTCCGGTGTGAAATAATGGAGCCATGTTTCAGCCATTGTCACATAAATTCGGGTTTATTACGATTAAACAGTTTCAAACATACCCCAGAATCATCAATTCGTTGCTGTTTTTGGTCAATTGTGAGCTCGTGCGGCACTCACTTTGCCTAGAGCTTTCGGACACCCAAATATTCATTCACGATATGTCCAACACGTTCCCTTGATATCTTTAGAGTCTCAGATATTTTGATCAACTTCACTTTACTGTAATCTAAAATTATTTCGTGGACTTTTTGATGTTTTCGTCGGTAACAGCCTCTTTGGGGCGTCCACTGTGTGCATCGTCGTCGGTGCTCACTTCGCCTCGCTTAAACTTAGCAAACCACTTCTCAATGGTTGATTTTCCTAGTACAGAGTCCGAACAATGTTTCTCGAGCCAAGCCTTGGCTTAAAGAGAATTTTTTTTGGCTAAAAAGCAATGCTCTATAAACACACGAAATTCCTTTTTATCCATTGTTTTTAAACTAACAAAAGTTGCTTCACTAAAAATACTATATCTCACAAACTAATAGTCCGACAGCTGTTAAATTTATGCATGTGTCTTTCGAAGGTTAGAACTAACTAAAAATCATATGTATTTAATAGCAGTAGCCCCATCTATGTGTCAACCTACGAACTTTTCAGCCCAACTGTTACTTAAGGTATAACATTTTTTACAGATCAGTTAAATTTCTATTAATGAAAGGTATGTGTTGCAATGTTAGAAAATGACTATTGTCATAATAAAAGTGGGAAAAAAAGAGCCTAAGCAGATACAAATCTGTTCCCTTTTGAAAACTAAGGTTGTTTTCCTACAGAAATTTTCAAATAAGAAATACAAAATTATAATATTTATATAACCTCTTCTGCCATAAATACTGAAACAGCTTACAAGTTATGCACATAAACTTTCATAAAAGACCATTACAAAAGATAAAAAGCAACTATAGAAAGTTTTAGAGCTTACTAGAAAATTTGAACCATCAATCTTTACAGGCGTCAATTGGTCCTTGTTATATTGGGCAAAGGCACTGAAAAAAAAAAATTTTATATAGTGACACATGCAATCGCTAATAATTAAAATTGCAACAGATCTTTAATAAAAGTACATAAGCCTTCTTTTAAACAGCTTTATACCATAATTAAAATATAAAAGACATTCAAACCAAAGAACTTTAAAAACAAATGTGTATGCATAAAAATGTTTTTTCTTACCCAGATGCACCTTCTTTTAACAAAAAATCATCATTAATGAGAACTCTGACATCTAAAACATCAAACAAATACTCATTAATTAAATATAACATTTAACTGAAAACAAATATCAAGAAAACAAAGAATACTAATTTTTAAAAGAGATACTTTTAAATATTTAAGCAAACATTTTATGACCCTATTTTTCAAGTAATAAAAAAAATTATCAGCAAAACTTTCTAAATGCAACCATCCTCTGCTTTGTAGAAAATTCAGCCATTAAAAGAGAACTCAAATTGTAAACATTAAATTGCCAGTTTACTCAAAAATGTCTTTTTTTCTGCTTTGTATCAATGAAGGAACCCTAACAACAATGGTTGTGTTGTTATCCATTGAATATTGCACAAAATCTTTATCTCATTGGGGTTTTTTTTCTTTTTGTCTGGAGTTAGACCTGTTTTTTAAGTGCCATAATCTGGATATTAAAAATGTCAACAAAAAAGAGAAAAGAAAGAAAATTACAAAACCATAACATTTAAGAAAAATTTTTCGAATCTCCAGTCCAAATGTACACTAAAATAGTGACATACATATGTTGTTTCGTATTTTTAAATATTTTTACATTGTGATTAAATCAAAAGTTCTGAATGAGATACAGAAAAAAAAATTACAGTCTAACTTCTATGAGAGACCTTCAACAATCACTTCTTCATGGCACATATGTTTTTAACTATCAACTGAATGCTAAAAAGTTTCTAAGAGAGATCAAGGAGCCTTCTACTAGCAACCAACAAACAGTCCTGTCGAAATGTTCAATAATCTATTTCACCATCTCTTTAGAACTATTTAAGAAAATCTAACAATTTTTGTATTATTTGTATTTTTGCATAACTTGTTTGTACAAGTTTTGGAATTAATTGCAAAACTTAGAAAAATAATTCTAAAATTTATACAAGTTTTGGAATTATTTTTACAAAGATAATTGTATGCAATATATGATTTTCATTATTTTTTATTAAAATTTAATAAAGATCAAAGTATATATATTTTTTTTTATTCAAAGTATACAGGTTTTAATATTCTCTAAGACTAAGCAATTTTAAAAAACAAAATCCAAAATTTAAATGAAATTAGTAGTTTTTTAAAATTTGAAGTTTAACTTTTTCATGAATTATTTAACAAAAATATGTTTCAAATTTTGGATATTGTTATTAAAAATTACATTAATTAAGAAGTTCAAATTTATATATCTTAAAATTTAAATTTTTTAACACGATTAAATTAAATAAATTTTAAAAATTAAATTTGCATAAAGTTATTATTATATAAACAAGTTTTATAAATGAAGAGTTTAGTAGAAAAAGGTTCTAAGATACATTTTTGGAAAATCAGAAAGAAAAAAACTGGGAATAAAGCTTTAAAAAGTATCTGTTTACAAGAAAAATTTTCCTATTAAAATCAGAACAATTTAATGACTTCACAGAAAAAAAATTAAGCTCGATAAAACAAAACTATGTAAATAAAGCACAAACAATGGCACAAAAACAAATATGTTGTTTTGGTTCAACAAACAAAAACCTTCCTCATTTTTGAAACACAAAATGACAAAAGAAAGCAAGTGGACAAGCAGCATTGAATGTTTGTCTCATACTTTCTTCTGTCATTTTGTGCTTCAACACAGAGAAAAACTCTTGCTAATAGAACCAAAACTATAGTATGTCTATTTTTATGCTGGTATTTGTATTTTATTCATAATGTTTTGCCTTATTCATATGTAGCACAAAGTATAACCCATATTTATTCCGACAGTTGAAAATGACAGGTTTTTAAACTCAAATTTTTCCTCTTATTAGGAAACTCTCTAGCTATCTAAAACTTCCACTAAGCTTGTCAGTAGTGCACTTAGTTATTCTGATTCTCATAAATAGGCAAAAGTAAATAATTTTTACTGAACTGTTGCTTCATAAATTAAAAGCATGCTCAGTGGCCCCCATCTCCCCTCAAGCTCTTGGGCGCATTCATCCTCCCCCCCCCCAAAAAAAAAGAAATTTGCTAACTTCCCCCTTCCATGTTAGCTTGTTCGAAATAGTGCTACTTTGCTTGCTCATAATATGACAATGCTTCTTTTATTTATAAACTTAAAAAAAAGAAAATTCTCTCGTATAAATTCCCCCCCAAACTATACGTTTTATTTAGTGTAAAAATCCCCCCCAAGCTTTAAGTGGGCGCATCGTGCACCCACCTTCCCCCCTGATGGGGGCCCCTGAGCATGCTTAGTTTATTAATCCAGTATATTTCACAGATGAAAGCAAAAATTAAATTATTCAGACGGATAATGAGAATAACTTACCATTAAAAACTTCATTGAATTCACCAGGAGGGGAATGTAAAATAAAATCAGATGCAATTCTTATCTAGAAGAAGTATGATTACATTAATATTCATGCAATTAAAACTTCATTTTCATGTATCCTACGTAAGTTATAGTAAATCAATAATCATAAACAAAATACCTAAGAATATTTTATTGGAACAAACATTTATAGCTTAACTAAGAACATAACATTTTTACATATTATATGTGACAAAGTCTACAGGGAAATATCTTTCTGCTAACTGGACCAGTAGCACATACCTGGGACCATCCCAAGGAACAATAAGTTGGACCGACCCAAAGCACAGCAAGCACAGACTTAGATTTTGTCAGGCCTAAAAAATTTTTCTTAAAAAACAGCATTTTATCTTTAAGAAAATAACATTTTAGTACTTAACTACCTTAATACTATAATATACCTTCTAATATCAGTACTATAGTATTTTATTTTACAATTTGATTGAAAAAAAATTACTCATAATGCAAACCTCGAAAGGTGAAGCCTTACATTACATAGAATTTTGCATAATATACATCACTTCACACGTTATCAAGCTTACCTATTATTCAAGATATACAGTCCGATCTCGATATAAGTTCACCCTAAGGGACATCGCAAAAGTGACCTTATAAGCGGGACGACCTTTTAACCGATTCATTAGCAGTTCGGAACTAAGCACGTAAGTAGTACACATTATGATTTTTTAAAAATGGTAATACAAACGAAAATGATCGGCCATAAATTAAATATATAAGTCAATAAATTTTAGCAGAATTAGTAAAGATTAAAGAAAGTTAGATTTTTAAGAAAATTTTAATTTAAAATAAAGCTGTTTTCAAATTTCCTCAAAGTGTACATACATACATTACTAACTCAGTGGCGCGACAGCCCATTAAGAGGGCCAAGGCCGACTGTGCCCATCTCAGTTTTCTTGACCTTGGGCTCTGGGGTGCAGGAGCATATGTTCCGGTCGGGTGGTCAGCCGAACGCGGAACCCCCAGTGTTAGTTCCCAAGCATGCTTGGTACTCATTTTATCGACCCACTGAAGGGATGAAAGGCTGAGTCGGCCTTGCCCGGCCCAAGGATCGAACCAAGGACCTGTGGCACGACAGCGCGAAGCGCTACCGCTCAGCCACCGGGCGTCTACATACATTACATCTTACGTTATTTAAAATAAATCATTTATGCCGGTCTGTCTTGTTTTTGGTTTCGTTTTTCGAACTATGCTTTCTAGATTTTTTAACTTTTCAAAATGTTCCTCAGCTCCCTCAAGGTTCGTAAAAAAAATTTGTATGACATTTATTGCATCGAAGGCTTCCGCTTTGGTTACAGCTACAGTCTCAGGATCACTGTGAAACAATTTCAGAAATTGTAGCTGGTTCGTTGGTTGCAACATTTTCATAGAACTCGAGAGGGTAATTGCCTTGTAAAGAAGTTAAACAGGCTTTTGTAAGAAAAGAGCTCCCCTAGCCTCAGATAAAAATGACCTTTATAAGCAATAACCATTTTTAAAACTTGACCATATATCCGATAATCTGTAACAAAGAATTTCTATTCAGTGAGCCGGGACTTAGGAAAAGTGACCTTATACGTGGGGTGACCTTATATCAAGGTCTGACTGTATATTATCAATATATGACTGGAGCAGATCAATGCTTAAATATTCTAAAATAATTTTTTAATGCAGATTACTTAAAAACATGTACTTGTATTTAAGTATTTCTTATTAACAGGCAGGAAAAAGAAAACTGAAATTATCAAGAACATAATAGTAAACAAAAAAATTCACATTTTTGTATGCTATATTGATTATAATCACTTGTAGCTACTAGAAAAAATTATGTAATTTTTTCTAGTAGCTAGCGCAGTTAGTTAATGGTTCTTGCTTAATTGCAGAAATTTCTTTCCTGTAATTTTCACTGTTTACAGCTACAAAGTTAATGTGGTTTATGGAGAATTGATTTTTATAGTATTCTGTTACATATATGTTCTACAATATTAAATTTGTTCTTCGTATATTACTTATCTTAGACTAAGAAATAGTAAAATGTGTCATATATAAGAGAATAAAACAAAAAATATATTAGGCCAATTTAGCACTTATTTTTATATATTTTTGCATCAAAAGCTTTTAGAGTCAAATGAGGTAACTAAGGCCAGAGGGCAGACCAGTGACAATTTTAAAAAACTCAAAGTCAAAATTTAAAAACACATGTTTCAAGTTTAATGTACATATTTTGTTTCAAGAACCCTTAAATAGTAGTTAAATGAAATATTGAATCAATATTTAAGTAATTATTAAAGATTAAACAAATGGTTAAGAAATTGTTACGATGCATGTTGATTTTAAGTAATTCAAACCTTCAAATAAAAATTTTTGTGATAAGGACAAATTGATTTTTATTAATGAAATGATTGTGGACCCAATCAGTTCAGAAAAATGTCTAAGATATCCACACAAAAAAGCCATCTCCTTTTTGATCTTTCTAAGATATTGAAGGAAACTGTTGTGATAAAATATAAGAAACAGAATCAACGAGCGAGAAGCTGAAAGAAGATAATGCATACCAAAATCAGCTTCCAGTTGCAGGTTAGTTAAAAAGTTAGTTCAGATAATCAAAGAGCTGGATGCCAAATATATAAGTTGAATTAAAGAAGAACTGAAACTTTCAGAATGTTTGTTGGCTGAAGTCAGGTTCAGTAAAGTATCATTGTGACAACAGGAACTTTTGCATCCTGATATATCATTGCATTAGAGAAAATTCACTTTTTCTCTTCTGAGCATCTTCAGTCAATCTAACACAATTTTCGATATTATTTACAAAAACAAAAAGTGGTGCGTAAAGGGGGGAAATGAGATATTGCCAGAGGATAAAGCTTGCAATGTATTCAAAACAGATGTGTGAGGATTGAATCACATCCCATAGATATGAATAAGTGAGAAGTCAAAAACACTGGTCAGGGTTTCTAGAAGATCTGACAGTGGATCAACATTTTAATATGTGCATCAGTTGATGGTAAAAATTCCTCATGTCTGAATCCCCCAAATATTTATCTATCTCCTATTTTCAGATTTTTAATAGGGAAATTATGACCATCCCTTAAAAAGCCCAGGTAAGAGACTTGGAACGCTGGTTAATTATTTCCTACATTTTTAAAGAGTCAAATAATTACCCTAAACCATTAAACATTTTTCTAATGGATAAAAAGGTTCAACATATCAAATAACCAAAAGGAGCCATAATTACCCCAACTGACATCTCAAAATTTTCGTAATTCTATAAGTATGCTATCTAATAAAGAAACAGTGACCCAGCAATTAAGATACTGCATTGTTATGGTGAAGAGCTGGGTGGGGTTCGGTTCCCAGGACGGCTTGAAGCTCTCCTAACTACAGATCAATGGGTACCTACTTGTCTGGGAATTAAAAGTGTCCTTTTTCTGTATGCAATGCTAACCACATTGTACAATAATGCCATTAGACTAAGTCCTGACAATGACAAAAAGAAAAACTCAAAATCTCAAAATAAGGAAAAATGAAAAAGGAAAACTCGTAACCAGCTCAGGACAATCCATTTAAAAATTCTCATTCAAGTTCCAAGCACATGATACTTAGCATTTGCAGAATGATGCATGTATCAATATGCAAATATCCCCATGGACTTAATAGAGTTTTATGGATATGTTTTTCAAACTAAAGAGAAACATGGACAGTTGCCGGTTGACAGTACAATTATTTGCTTAATTCCAAGAGCTTTTTAAAAATACTTAATAGCATCCATCTTGCAATAATTCATTCTTCTTAATTTTATTTTCTTAAGTTTTAACACCTTATAACTATGCTGTTTCATGTGCTATTTTAAATAAATTAAAATTATTAACAAACATATTTCGTATTTCTGAGTAGAAATCAAAGTAGAAGAGTAGGCATTACTTTTAAAAGTATATCCAATTGCAAAAACAATCGGACACACAAGACCTGTCAATTAATAAACTTCATATAAATTACGATTTGAGAAATTGATTAAAAGGACAAGTTGACAAACTAAACATTTGCACTTATCACTTCAAAATTTAATACACAACAGAAGAATTTACATAATACAATACTAAATACAAGACGGTAAAACAGAAAAAAGCAAGTTTTATTTCAAGAGCATCAATACAACAGTAGGTAAATATTTTTGTCAGTAACTTTTAATATCAACAATCTTGAATATCAAAACACTTTAATTTAAACATGTGCTACCTATAAGAAAAAATTTATAAAGTTCCGGTAGATGAAATTTATCAGACATGAAGTAAATACTTTTGTCACACAATACTTAAGGGATTTTTTATGTAAAATATTAAAACTTATCACGCCAATAGCTAATGTAAAAAAGGGAAACTAAAAAGTTGAAAATGACAGCACACGAGCAGGGGAAAATAGGTTTTATTTTGAAGAAATTTGGGGGGGAAATGTGATGTAAAGACGAAATTTAATTCAGAATTCACATGACATTCTGAAATTTTAGATCGAAATGACAATAATCAACGAAAAAATTTATTATAACCTTTTCATCATCAGTAACTGCTTCATCTATATCAGCCATAGCTCTCTGAGAAAACACAAACCAATACCAAAGCAACACACAACAAATCGGAGTTTACTTTTCATGCCACATGACGAGTTGAGTTGAAAAGAAAAATTCAGCTTACTTGACATATAACCGCGATGGCCAAATTTTGCAAATATTTTCACTGAAACCATAAATTGGTCAAGTCCCGCAGTGGACTGATCTTAAAGACACGGTTCCCTGTAGAACACCGAAAGTCAAATATTTCTGGTTGAGGTCAGCAAGCTGTTTGTGGCCATTTTGATGAGCTGGCCTAGAGATTGAGGGTGTGCGGTAAACTCTTATTCGTTATCTACCATAAAGTACTCGACTTCGCACGCATGTCGTCCGGCTACCAAAGCGGGGGAGAGAGATCCTCAGAGATGTCTCACAGACCGTCGCCAATAGCCCATCTTGCAGCTCAAGGGTGACGTAAATAAAGTACCTACCTTTAATTGGTCAGTGAAATCACTTCGTGTCGTGCCATATGTCACGTGAGTCAGATGCAAATAATTCATTCAATTACCTAACAATTCATCTATGCTGTTGAAAACAATTAAAGGAAGGAACAGTTCAGCCTCTGCCACACGGCTACCTGTGACGTCGTAAGGCAGTGACACAACTATCGATACAGTTGTTATCAATAGTTGTGTCGACAGCGACACAACTATCTCGCAACCTGTGCAATGCAACAGGAACATCCAATTCACGAATACAGTCACCCAGAGACTTATTGCAGGTGACCTGTTAACCAAACTCCCTGTTTTCTGTTTCCCTTTAACTGTGAACCACAAAAAGGAGTATTTAGCATGGGACCAAAAACAGTTGTCATGGACACAGAGGATGGCTGGGACTGGAGACGGGTTCTCTTCAACGATGAGTCTTAATTAAGTTTAAACAGTAACTAGAGACGTGTTCTTATCTCGAGATTACCCGGGAATCGATATCGGCCTTCTGACATTGTCAAAAAGCAAAAAGGACTATTATGGCTGAGATGGTCTGATGGTCTTAGCAGACCTCATCGAAAATGATCATACCGACCTTCATTTGTCCGATAGAAGTACTTTGACAGATCAGCAGCACATGGACGAGATCCTTGCACCATAAATGAGACTTTTCCATGGAGCATCAGCATATAGATCAAAATGTTTCAAAACGCAAAACTCAGGAAGCGAACCGAAATGTTGTATTCTTTATAAAGGTTCTCATAGCATTTATAGATGAGATAAATTTCTTTCGGTCAAGCTATTCAAGAAAGAAAAACCTTCATTTTAAAGAGAAAGCCTTGTTTTAATTGCTCAAAGATAGAACATTCACATTCAGCTGTTAATTGCCGAAAGTAAACTTTGATACTTTTGCTCAAAGAAGAATCTAAGTTTGTTGCATCTTGACAAAGAAGAGTCTAATTTGACGGCAGTTGGTAATAGAGAATAACAAGATATAGCTCGAAAAATGTCCAATTGAAAAAGTCAACAATTTTTCTACCTTTGATCAATTATGAATGACAAAGGAGACACAGATTAAGATATAACCGACAGGTTGAATAAAGCCCACAGAGTTTTTGCTAATCTAAATAAATTTTGGACATGCGAGACTATATCAAATGAAACAGAAATAAGAATCTTCAACTCAAATGTTAAATCAGTGCCCTTTTTTATGGATCAAAAACATGGTAGAACTTGAAAACAAATTCAGATAAGTTATATGATTTTCCAAAGTTAAAATTTTTGCTAGTATTTGTTTGCTAGACAAGCATAAAATGCTATATATCAGAAAAGAAAAAAAAAGACCAGCATGAACTAGCAAAAGTATTTTTCTGGTACCGGTAAAATTACTAGCATGCCATGGTGTGTAATGGCACACTTTATTGCTTGTCCAGCATGCAGATACCAGCTTGTGTTGCTGGAATATCTTGCTGGCGTAGCAGCAATCACGACCATCACTTGCTAGCTTTCTCTGTTTTTCCAGCAAAAATTCACAAGCAACAGATGCTTCTTTGTAGCTATTCCTAGCATGAGAATTCTACCATCAGTTGCTTGCTTAGAAACTAGCATATTTTTGTTGGTGGTACCGTCATGAATTTTGACTTGGGTGGAGACATAATAAATACACTAACTATATTTTTGGAATGAGAACAGCAAGTGGAATAGTTCTTACAACTTTATGCAACTAAAGACAAAGTCTATTTGTAAGGTTTTCACTTTTAACATATAACCATGAAATAGTCATCTGAAAGAAACTTAATGAAGAAGTAAACTATTTTACACACCTGTATATTGACAGTTCTAAGAGATTTCCTAATAAAAAGTTCTAGGGACCTCTTTTAAATAAATATAACAAGCTCTAAGGATTTTGATAAAAATAAAGGGTTTTAATTGTACATTGTACTTCATTTTAAAAAAAATGCAGTTTAATGTTCTAATTGAAATCGATTATTTTTTTTACATGTTTTGAAAAAGTTGAGTGTCACGATACACTTATGTTAACACATTCGACATTAGAATTGAAACTCTTAGCTAATTAACTCTTAAACTTATTTAAAAATATCCATAATATCCAAAAACTGATTAACTTGAATACTATTTCAAATATTAAAGGTAGATTTTGAAAAAAAGTAGGGTAATTTCTTTTAAAAAATAAAAATAAATAAAAAAAAATTTTATTACAAATTTATGTTTAGTCTCTAGAACAGATATTTTTATATTAATTGGCATAATATAGTGCATCATGAAATTCATACGTTTCAAAACATTTAAAGAATAACCAATTTTAATTAGAATGATTTTCACCACTAAAAGAATAAGAAATGCAGTTAACAATCCTTCGAAATGTGAAATAATTTATTTATTTAAATCAGATAGTGAGATACTGCTTAAATTTAACTTTTACCCCGAATTGAACTTCAAGTCTTGCTGAAATTTCGAAGGAAAATCTGTGTTTCCTTCATGTTTCTCCAAATTTAATTGCTGCAATTTATTTCGAAAGATTTTAAAAGTATCTACATGAAATTTAGGATCTATGTATGTTTGAGTTATTTTAATTCAATTTATTTTCAAGAAATTTTCAAATAGTTTTCAGATATAGTTTCGTAATTTTTTTAAAGAATAAAGAAATTTAAAAATAACACATTTCAGTTTTAGAAATTTGTTTTTTAAATTCTTGGACACCAATAGGAAAATTGCCAACGACGAATTAAATTATGGACATTTTATTTAAAATAAATAAAAAATAACTAACATTGAAGCTTAATATTATCAGTTATATCAAAAATTAACAATAGTTTTAAAAATATTTAACATTAATTTTTTTAAAAAATGACTATTAAATTTTTATGCTTTTTTTTGTTTATGATTAGTGTATTATAAAATTATAAGAAATATTCGAAACAATTAACTTTTTTTTAGAATAATTTTAAAAACATGTATGTAATCCATCCCTTCAAAACCAATTTTTAAACCGTTTCTAAGATTGTAATTTTATAAACGATTCATTCGATTTAATTCAAATTTTGTCATATAAAATTACATTCTTCAAAATTATGAAAAAATTTGTGTACCTTATAATTCAAAATTTAGAATGAGTCCCATTACGTGAAGATCCAATCATTAGATCAAAAGCTATTCAAGATAGTCCAGTTTTTTATTTTCTTTTTTATTTGCGCATTGTATATCAATTGCATGAAGTCTGTTCAAGACAATGATAGGGAAGAAAACGCTCTTTCTAACATATTAAAATATAGTTTTGAAGTAGTTTACATATACTCGCCTCAAAACCTTAAAGCATTACCAAGGCTACAATATCTTGATTTCTAATGGTTTGCAAAATTACGCTTTTTACCTCTAACTTTGACAAATTAAAACAAATAATAATTATTGTTGGATATACTTAATAGAATAAAACACTTGTACTGAATAATTGTAAAATATAAATCAATATTCACTTACTTATTTGGGCTCTTTACGCCGTTTGACGTACAAGGCATCCAGCCTACTTCTCCTTGCCCCCCGGTCCTTGGATCGGGATCTGGCTTCCTCCAATCCTTTAAATTTTGCACTCTTGAAATTCGCCTGCATTTATTTTTGCCAAGTCATCCCTCTTTTTCTGTTGCCCTCAGGGGCCCAAGAAAGAGAAACATGTGTTAATTTTTCTCTCTGCATTCTTATAGAAGTCCCGTCCATTTCCGTCTTTTCTTTTTGATTTAATATCTTATTGTAGTTAGGTTTGCCTTTTCTAATATTCTTCCGTTTCTAATTTTAATAGACTAAAAGATTTAAAAATTATTAGACAGTAGTTTTGAATACGAATTCACTGAAAGCTGATCTTTTTATAAGTTTTCCAGATAAATAAAGAGTATATATATAAGTATCTAGAAAACTTAAGCTACAAGTACTACAGCTATTTTAACCATCTATTGTAAAAATGATAAAAACTTAGCATTATGATTTAGTAGTTCTTAATTCTGAAAAATACTATTACTGAAATAGTTATCAAGATTCACTACTGAAATTTATGCCGATTCACTGAAAGCTGATTTTTATATAAGTTTTCCGCATAGGTGAAGAGTACTTTTAAAAGTAGTTAGAAAACTTAAGCTACAATAACTACTACTAATATAACCATCCATTATAAAAATAATAAAAATGTAGTAAAACCTAACTACATTTTGGCTTCTAACATTATGATTTAGTAGTTCTTAGTTCTGAAAAGTACTATAACTGAAAAGTACTGCGTATAACTGAAATAGTTATCAATATTCGCTACTTAAATTTATTCCAATATACTGAAGGCTAAACTACAATTACTACCACTATCTAACCATCTATTATAAAAAATAATGAAAATGTAGCATTATGATTTAGTAGTTCTTAGTTATGGAGAGTATTATAACTGAAATAGGAAAAAATAGTTTGTTTAAAAGTTATAACTACGAAACATAAAACTTCTTATCAAGAACCTTTTTCCATCACATATGCCATATAAACACACCTGTCGCCTATTTATGAGATGCAACAATATATATAAATATAATCAATATGAGTTATAAAT